ATCAAGAATCTTAGTAACTAGTAACTTAGTAAACTCAGTAAAATTTAGTAACTACTTCACTGTTCAGTAAATTCTTAATATAATGGATGGGCTTGATGAAGGGATACCAGTTTCCCAATGTCTGGTTTTAAGTCACGTAGCAGAGTGCAATGTTTCTCAACACTCTGCTCTGAAAGCATCAGAACTGTTTTCCTCTCCTCTCCTATTATGGTATCAGCCTTTTCAGTGGCATTAACTCCTGGCTCCAGTTTTCAGTAGTTTTGGGTTATGGTTTGTCTTAAAAGACACTTAAAAATAGCGGCCCCTTTCCTACCAGTTTACCCCTGGAGTTCATGCAAAACTTGCTTCGTCGCCCACGTCAAAATTCTCTTTGGCCATTGTCCCGCTGCCCCCTTTCCACACAAGGAACACCACCCACCACCCACTTTTTTGTGCCGCTGGAGGATTTTAGTTGCCATACGCACATATGGGGATCCCTGTCCCGGGATCACCATTCGCGTGCCCACAGAAAAGAGGGCTCCCTGCCTGCGGAACGTGGTACTGCCGCCCTTGGCGCACAGCGCGTGGATTGATGGAGCATGTGCCGACTGACTGGCTACCCCAAGGAATGTGCTGTGTGCAAGAGGCCAGAAGCAACTATTCGACGGGACGGGGAGGACGGGAGCAGCCCATGTCTATGGCGGGCTCAGGGAGCACGCAAGTTCCAAGCTGTGGCACTCGGTCTGGAGGGGGGGAATCCCTGAGCGGTGTGTGCCTAGCCGCCGCATGGGAGTGGCTCGGTGTCTTCCGATTTAATTGTTTTGACTACCCCCCTCCTCTGCTCGGTTGCACGCTCTCTGTATGTTCCCCCCCTCTCTTGCTGGACAGTGGTTGAGGCCACTGGTAGTTAGGATCGATTCTGCTGTTGCTTAAGTCATCGCGGTGGACAGCAGCAGCAGCGAGAAGCAGCAGTGGTAGTATTGAGTAGATCAACGAAAAATGGACATTTATGGCAGGCTGGCTAGCTGAAGTTGTAGGCTCCTTATCTGCTTCCCCCCCTTGCCTCTTAGCGCCCCCCTAAGTCATCCCACCGCCCCCAGGGGGCAGTACTGCCCACTTTGGGAACCACTGGGCTAAACTGATTTAGAGAAATATCAGTTAATCTAGTTGCAGTGACACCCTTTTACTATTTTGTTAATATACTTTAATATTGAGGAATTATTATAATTAACAAAGTTTTCTCTTAAAATGTTACATATTCCACTAAAGAAAGAAAAAGACCCAAGCACTGTTTTGAGCATAGGCCTGTGCCACTGATTGCATCTTGGTTCTAGAGAGGAAGTGCTGTCATTAACTAGATCATTTAGCATTTTGGAATGAAATAATTCCGCCTTCTCAGTTGTCTAATTTGTAGATTTGTAGATTTTATTAATATTTGTAGGCCGCCCTTTTCCCTGAGGGGACTAAGGGCGGCTCACATAAAAT